GCCTCCATTCCAGGGGCCCAAACTGGAGACCCGCCCCCCTCACACCAGGGCTCAGAGCCCTTGGGGCTCCCCCACAAGAGGCTTTCGAGGCCCCGGAGTCAGGCCCAGCCCACTTTTCCCACCTTGCCAGGGCCCTACCTTCACTACCTCCAGCGCCTCCTCACTCTCCAGGGATGGGCCAGGCCCCCTCCCGCCTGCCCTCTGCTGGTGACCTTGCAAGTCCCACAGCCTCAATGAAACCCCCAGGACAGAGAACGGGACCCAGAGGTTCAAAGTTGCACATTTGGGGCAAGCGTCCCGGCGGCACCCTTGGGCAGAGCCTCCACACTCCGCCCTGCGGTCAGGCGCTGTCCTCCCTCTGTGCGGGGCGCTCGCTGGCCTCGCTTCGCACTTACACTGGGCTGGTCTATCGTTTTTACGGCTTGATGTGCTTTGTTTTCCCAGCTGGACCATAAAGTTCCCCAAAACATCTACATTATTTGCTTTTCTGATTTCACATCTATCCACAGTAGGAAATGGAAAAAATCCATTATGCTCCAAGAAGGAAAACGAAGGTACCTCACGTCTTCCTGAGATGAGCACCGAAAACACCTGGCTCACTCGCAGCACCTCCTATGCATAGGTGTTTTCTTCTTCAAAAATCAAGATCATATTGCATGAACTTTTGTCTTGCTTTTCTTCAATCAACGCTGCAAGGTGAACATTTCTCCACATCAGAAATTCCCTAAAAACTTGTTTTTTGCCAGGCACAGCAGCTCAAGTCTGTAACCCCACCTATTCGAGAGGCTGAGGCAGGAGGATTGCTGAGGCTAGGAGTTTCACACCAGCCTGCTCAACATACGAGACCCCAACTCTAAACAAACAAACCAAACACATATGTATGTATTTTTAGAGACGGGATCTCTCTCTGTCACTGAAGTGCAGTGGTGTGATCATAGCTCACTGTAGCCTTGAACTCCTGGGCCCAAGCGATACTCTCGCCTTGGCCTCTCAAGTAGCTAGGACTACAAAGTGCACACCACCATGCCCAGCTAATTTTTAAATTTTTTTGTAGAGATAAGGTCTTGCTGTATTGCCCAGGCTGGTCTTGAACTCCTGGCCTCAAGTGATCCTCCCACCTCGGCCTCCCAAAATGCTGGGATTACAGGTGTGAGCCACCGTGCCTAGCCAGCCAAAACATGTTTTTTAACGTCTGCCATGGCACTCCAGCATCAGGACCACTATCGTTTATTTAATCAATACTTCTGTGAGGAAGGGAGGTCAGGTTGAGTCTTCAGATACCAAGGCCTACACTGGCATACTTGGAGCTACACATTTGCCAACCAGTAATTACCTTCCTTGCATGCTGACTAAATGCATTTCCTCCCTTCTCCTAAGAAAGCTCATTTCCTGTGGACAAGATTTGCGGTGCAAATGGAACTGGCTATGACGCGGGAGCCAGTGCAGTGGGCTGGCCGGCAGATGTGTGAGCCACATTCCCCTCCCTGCCTGTCTCCCTAGTCCGGTGTCAGTCCCGTCAGCCTAGGGAGCATCTGGCAGCCCCCACTGCCCTGGCCCCTCCAGATTAAAGGCCCTTTCTGCCTGCAGGCAAGAGAGTAGGGGTCAAGTTCACGCTGCAATGCTGGCTGGTGAAGCCCAGTCATCACGTCAGAGGAGGAAGCGCCCAGCGTAAGAGGATGTGGCGTCTCAGCAAGACAGGACCCAGGAGGTCTTCAATTTTCAGAACGGCTTAAATGTGTTCTGTGTGGTCCCAAAAGGTAAACCTGGGACCAAAGACAGAAGCTACAAACAAACAGATTTTGACTCCCACAAAAAGAATGGAGAGAAGGCAGAGGAGGGCCAAAAACCCACCTAATGGGTACAACGAACACTATCTTGGTCATGGGCACACCTGTAGCCATGACTTGAGCATTGCAAAAGCAATCCATGTAACCAAAAACATCTGTACCCCCTCAATTATTTTGAAATTAAAAAAAAAAAAAAAAAAAAGCAAGCTTGAAATGAGCCGGAGCAATGCAAGGAATGGATTTAGCGAATCCCTCGTCACTTAGCACCACCATGGCAGAAAATATCCGGAAGGGATTCAGACAGAAAGGACGATTAGATCACATGATGTTAAAGTCCCTTGCACCCTGGGAGGGAGCCGGGTAGCACCCACATGTGCCCTGCACTCCTCTCCAACAACTCACAGGACCCTGCCGTACGGAAATCCCACAGCAGCACCTTGGCTGTGGAACGGCCTCTCCTGATGTTCCAAACACATCCCACGCCTGGCTTCCTGGGAATTACTTGTGCATCTTGTAGAAGAGTCTCCAGGGCATTTCAGAACCAAGGGAAACATTTGTAGCCTATTGAAAACCAAACCGCGTGGGGATATACTGTAGCTAATGTGATATAAATTATACCTCACGCAACAACGGAATGTTTCAATAACAGAAATGCTCCCCTTCGTGTGTTTTCTTCTTTTTCTTTTCTGGTTGCTAGAACATAATTAGACTCACAGCACATCTGGCCATTCACCTGCAATTACCCAACATGCTGTGCAGGCCACTCTAGGTATTTGAAGTGACATGCTCAACCGAGGTGTACTCAGTGTGCCTTCTTGTACAGACCACACCTGCTGGCCACCAGCCATAATGGAGAAAGCCCCTGGAAGGACTGAGTTGCTGGCAGAGATGCCCTGTGCCGTGCGTGGACTTTTGGCCCATGCCACACTTCCCCAAATGCCCGCGCAGCTGCACTCTGGTCTGGGAGCCCAGGCCGAGGCAGTGCAATAGTTCTAAGGCGCCTTGGAGTGGGAACCTTACCCTTTCCAAAATCAGCAGAAGGGGAGAGAAGTCAAGAGCTCAGCCTCTAAAGCATCAGAGTCCAGAGAGGGGAGAGTCTGTGGTCTAAGACCACCTACCTGCCGACCTGGTGGCCAGTCTGATGAAGGGGTGAGCTAAGAGCCAGAGGGCACCCTGGATCCCCACCCACTCCCTGAGCCCCCACCTCCATCCCGGGTGTGTCCTCCTTCCCCAAGGAATGTGGTGAGTCAGGGGTTAGGTCCCAAGAACTATAAATATACTCAGTTTAACTTTTAAAAAGAAAGAAAAATAAATCACTATTTTAAAACTTGAGGTTCTTTAAAGCTGAAAAATAACTGCCCCAAGGCTAGCTTTGGAAGAGGGGTTTGTTGCAGAGTTCACTGTCTGCCCTGGAGACGGAGGTGGCTCTAGCAGGGGGGTGGTTATCCCAGCCAGTGTCCCTCCTGGAAGCCTCAAGCCAGCTCATGGGCAGGCTGCTATCCAGAAGTCTCTGGGTCAACTCCTCAAACACAACCGTCAGTGGGAAACCCATGGAGCCCCCACTGGAGAACAGAGGGCGGGCAGTGACAGCTCTGTGCTCACTCTGACCCCTGCCCCCAACTGACACACAGAGCAGGATGGGCACAGGTTAGGGAGATCCACTTCAGAGAAAGCGGCAACCCAGCATCCACTCAGGCCCACGTGTCCAGGGACTGGGAGAGCAAGAAACAGGCCTTCAGGATGCAAGGAGGAGCAGGGCGGGCAGGGTCTGCTAGATGAACCCAAACCTTGCTTCTATAAGGACGCGAGTAAGAAGGTGACCTAAAGCACACAGGTGGCTCTATCTGCTCCCTGTGCAGCACTGTGGTCAAAGTACGACCCCCAAACCCAAAGCTCCAGATGCACTTTCCACCCTGCCAACTACTGGCCATGTGACCCCACGCAAGCCACGAAACCACTCTAATCTCATTTCCTTCATCTGGAAAACAGAGATGATAACATCAGCACACAACCTCAGGGGTGCTGGGAAGATTCGATGAGCTGATTCCTACAAACCACTAAGAATGGCGCCCAGCACAGTGAGCACCAGTAAGTGCCAGCTACCACGGGTGTTACCGCAACATCAAATGCCTGCTCCTAGGGGCCCGTGCTGGCTGTGAGATGAGCCGAAGCCCTTGGCTCAGCCACTGCCTGGCTGTGCTGCCACTGCCCAGCCCAAACGTATGCAAGGTCTTCCAGGAGAGAGACAGTGACAGGCACCCTGCTCTGAGTCACTTTCTGGAATGACAGAGGGAACACTGGACCCTAAGCCCAGGGTCCTAGCTGGGTCTCTACTCCACAGGGAGCCAGAGGAAAGACACCTTAGTTTTTCTTTTTCTTTCTTTCTTTCTTTTTTTTTCAAACCCCTGGCATTTTGTAAGAGAGTACAGAAAAGCAACCAAGGCCAGGTGCAGTGGCTCACACCTGTAATCCCAGCACTTTGGGACGCTAAGGCGAGAGGATCACTTGAGGCCAGGAGTTCAAGACCTGCCTGGACAAGATAGTGAGATCCCCATGTCTACAAACAAAAAAGAAAAGAAAAAAGAAAAGCAACCAATCCTCCAAACCACCACTCAGCCTCTCTGGGCCATCTCTGAGGCCACAGGTGTATGGGGCTGTGCAGCTCTGGCCTCCACTGCAGGCACTTGGCCTTGGCTGGGCAGGGAAGAGGCCTTTCTGCCAGAGACAAGGCTCCCTGCTTCAGTGACAACTCACTTGACTACAAAGTTCTGGGAAATAAAGGAAACTCCTGGCATCTGGCCTTAATGGGATCTGGAGTCACAACAGGGCACTTGGCGTCCTGGCCACCAAAACTCCTGGCGTCTGGCTCAGAGCAAGCTGTCCTGATGCCTCACTGTACAGCATAGGGTCTGAGGCCTGAAAGGGAGACCAGAGAGGGGGCAAAGGTCTGACTCAGGGCCTTCCTTCCCACAGTGCAGACCTGCACAGAGCTCCCCCTCCAGAACCGTTTCAGGGGCAGAGGGAGAGGGAGGCAGGGTTTGGAAAGGCACACAATGCTCCACTGACTTCCCGGTATCTGAGTAACCTCAGTTAGCTCTTCCCTGGGACTTGGGTGTACGTACTGTGGCACACTCCAGCGGACCAGAGGGAGGCCAGGGAGGCGCACTTCCGCTGAGCAGCGCCCAGCTGCAGAGGAGGCCCGTAGGCACTTACCAGGAAGCGGACATCGTCAAAGCCATTCAGAAGCAACTTGCTCTCATATTGCTGCAGCCCAATCGACTCCAGCCACTCCCCCACGCTCTGCTCCAGCGTCCGCGAACCTGACGAGAGAGGAATCGGCAGACGCTTGAAAAGGGAAAAACCATTAAGGCGGTAGCAGCGGCACTCAGAGGAGGACAGATGGCATTGCCACATCATAGTCATTACCATAAAGCAGCCAAACTATATACAAGAGACCAGAGAGCAGCGGACACGCAGCTCCTCTTCTGTGTACAGGCCAAGGACAGGACTGCCTGGTGCTGTCCACTCCCGGCCCAGCCGCGGGTGGCTGCCGCCCACTCACACCCCCTTGGTCGGAGCTGCTCCAGGGCCGCGGTGGCACATGCACGATCTCTGCCCACAGGTCGGGGGGAAGCCAACCCCCGCCAGTCTCTGGGTCAACTCCTCATCAGCGTTCACACTGAGGCATTTCAGAAAGTCTGTTCCCACAGGCGCTAGGGGCCGGGGGAGTGCCTAAGTGCCTGCCAGCCCGCCGCTCCTCATCCATGCAGCGTTGGGAGCCCCTGCGGGGCCGTGCTGAGGGGCAGCTCTGCGACCTTGCAGCATACACCAGTCAGGAGAGGGCACGCATCTCCATGCAGCTGAGGGACACAGGCACACACCGAGGACTCCGGGAGGGAAGCAGCGGCGGCTGTTCACGGGGCCCTAGCACATGCAACACAAGCAGCACAGAACACGGCAGGGGAGAAAAGAGACTTTTACTTGTTTTCCCCCAGCAGTCCCGGAATAAGCAAACCATGGCCACGGGCCCTTTGTGCTCAGAGGCTCAAGACAGCAAGGAACGAAGTGGGGAGCATGGGCCAGAGCTCGGGGGTCGGGCTCAGGTGTGGCTCTGCTGGGGCAGCAGTATCGCATTCCGCCGGGCTGCGTGGCCAGCGGGCCAGGAGCCCAGTCACGGCTAGACAGTGGCGGTCAGCGAGCAGGGCGTCTCCGGGGCCGGCGTGCTGTTGGAAGTGCTGCCTTCCCAGGCTGGGCTGGTGTTCGGGGGCTGGGCGTTCATTTTCCTCTTCCGATAGTGGCCGTCCCTGTGACCTGCCTGCCTCCTTAGGGGGGAAGCAGGCAGGCAAATTCAGTTCTTGGCTAAAGAAGACAAAATCCAGCCAGATACCACAGAGAAAGGAAGTGCTCTCCTGTCAGATGAGCCATGGAAGCTTGAGTCTGTTCACATTCAGCGCTGTGCTCCTTGGCTGAGGGACAAAGACAGCAACAGTCTTCCCAGGTCTCCAGGTCTCAGTGTTCTCCTCTCAGGATGAGTGGGGAAGGGGGGACAATCATCTGCTATGCTCCTCGGTCGGGACAGGGATCGTGGTGGTGCAGGGAGGACAAAAGTTCAGCTCTTCCTGGCAGACCTTGGAGGTTCTAAACTGAATGCCTTAAACCCCACCTACTTAGCCAGTTCTCATGGGCAAGAACAGAAAAAAGAAGGAAAAAAGAGAAAGGCAGGAAAGAGAAGTACAAAGGAAAAAAAAAGAAGAAGCAACTATAAAAACATCACCTCCAGCGAACTCTTGACACGGTGAGAGTCATTCTGCCGTTCCCAGGTACCGCCTGCCCCTCAGAGCTGGACAATGCCAACTTACTCGTTTATCTAAGAGACCCTGGTGCCCAAATGTGCCAGCCTCCACCCCTCTCCTCTGCAGCACAGACGGTGGTCAGGGACCTGGGTGGCCTTCCGGACGCACGCTGCAGCAGAGCTCCAAGATGCCGAGTCTGGGCGATACACGCGCTCCCCTGCCCTTGAATGGGAAAGTCTGCTCCAGGAACCTAAGAGGCAGGCTCCTGTGCGCCCATGAAGTCAAGTGTTCCTGGCTGCTGATTCATTCCTGCTCACGATCCCCCAGCCGGGCAGCTGTGATCCTCCCTGCCGCCGGTGGATGTGTGCGCTCACAGAGCTGCAGCAGAGTGCTTTGTCTAAAGGCTTCTGGGCTCCACGCTGCCTGCTGCCGGCTCTACAGTCCTTGCTCACTCTCAAGTCTGGCCCTCCCCTTCCTCCCCTCCCCATCCTCCCCCCTTCCAAGCTCAGAAAAATACATCAGGGATCGGACATCACATCAGAGCAGAAGCTGCTGCTGCTCTTGCCGCTGAGGGAGAAGGAGACAGCAGCTGTAGCATCAGAGCTAAATGACAGATTTCCCAATATCTGATGTTGGCTGATACAAATGCATACGAAAGGTAGAGATGTGAAACTTTACCTCCAGCTCAAGGGCCTGGAAACAGCTTATCAGGAAGAATAGAGAGGGAGCACCCCTATGGCTGTGACCAACAGTTTCTAGGACAGCCAGGAGAAGGGAGAGAGGGTGCAGCCCACACAGGTAAGTGACCCCTCCACTCACCACTTCAGGAACCATCATGCTTCTCCATCACAAAAACAGGCAATGAAATGAGGCTGCTACACCCGATAGGCGGGCAGACCAAAAGACCTGGGACAGATTTCTCTTTGGGCCTGTTAGAGCCTGGGGCGGGGAGCACCATGCCCAGAGCCCGCATCTGGAGGATCAACAGCCAAGGACAGGGGTGACTAGGACAAAATCCCAAGTACAGCTGCACAGGGACTATAAAGGTAACGTGTGTACAGAGACAAAAATCCAGGAAACACACGTCACCCTCTCAATTTGCTGGGAGATACCTGCACCCCACCAGGCTCCAGACGGGCACTGGCAGAGAGGGCTCTGTGTACAGGGAGATCAAGCCCCAGGAGGATCTTGCATTTCACAGCTGGTCAACACCTAAAATGAGCTGGCTTCAGCAAAGAAAGCCAAGCAAGTTCTCGTCTGCTTGACAGAGCCTGCCTTTGCTGAAAGGAGCCAAAGTGGCCTGGCCAGGGGGGAAGGCTCACCTCCCTGGACTGCTGAGAGTGGGAGGTGGCCGAAGGGTGAGTTGGCTGTAAAACACATCTGTTGGGGATTTAGGTAGCTAGATCCAGGGCTGGCAGCCCAGGAGCCCATGGCCCCCAGACAGGACTAGGACTCCAATGCTGTGGTCTGGCCTTTTGGTGGGGACCCTCTGAAAACCAGTCGTGCTGACAAGCTCAGGCTTGGTGCAGCAGGGCCTGCTGGAGGGGGCTGCCAATCCCAGAGCCCAGGTCTTTTCTCCCCAATTCTGAAATCCAGGGACAATCTGAACCCCGATATTGAGCAATCAAAATATACAGTGATTCTATTTTGGTCTGAGCTGAAGATGGTGTTCACTGAGGTCCTGGGGAAAGCCCCCCTCCGGCCCATCAGACAGATTCACTGGCAGGTCTGAGTCCACCCTCTCCGTGCTTCGCGGCCTGGCAGTGGTACAGACGCCACGGGCTGGGGCTCTGCAGCATGGAGGATGCAGATTCCGTTTAGGTGGCCCCTGCATGTGCCCACTCTTGACTTTCCTAAGCTGAGGTATGGTGGATGGTTCAACAAAATGAATACTGTGTGTTGGGGTCTAGAAACCCAGGGGTATAGACAGACTGCCTCTCGCCACTCACACGGGCTCATGGGGGGCAAAACCTGGGGGGTGGGGCCACAGTGGCAAGGGAAGAGCTCATTGTTAACACTTCCAAGGAGAAGGGCTCTTCCCGAGGTGCTGCCACATGTCTTGATTTACCAAATCCAAGATGGAATGGCCTGCTTCTGACTCAAAGCTCTCAAGCATATGCAAGTGATGTTGGCTCCTGCTCTGTGGACATAGAGGGGGACAGGAAAGCAGAACATGGCCTCAATTGAACTGATTGCCATTGATCCCATCCCCGACTGTCCCCAAAGCTCAGCTTTGAAAATGGCAACCGTGTTTGTCTTAGTCCTGAGCATCTACTCCCAAAAAGCACTTGGCCCTTGGAAAAAAGCCTGCAAACTGCAACAGAGTGTGAGATCACTCGACTGAGTCTAAGCAGCTGCCTGGAAACAGATCCACAAACTCTTAGCCAGAAGAGTCTCCTCTGCAGACTTCCCCACAATCCAAGACTGACAGGGATGGACCAAACCCAGCTCAGCCCGCTCTGCTAGAACCAGGGAAATACGCTGCTGGAGGGGCAGTGGCTCCAGGAGCCAAGACTGAAAACCAGTGGGGGGAGAGAGCCATGGAGCAGAAGCCCCTGCTCTCTAGGTTTCTCGATACGAGTAAGTAATGACTTCATGGGCAAAAGTGAGCTTAGCTACTATTTATTGAGCACCTCTTTAGCTCAAATATTTGAATATATTACTCATTCACAACAAACTTATGAGGTTGGTACTATTATCCAAACGTTGTGGATGGAGAACTGGGGGGTCGGGGGGTTGGTCAGAGACATGTACGTATCTAGAGCCAGGGTGTGAATGGAGGGTTGTGAGGCTCCAGAGCCCAGGCTCCCCACTAAGCCCACCATGGCCTCAGTAGCTCCTCTCTCCCTGATGTGCACACTCAAGCCCACCCATCAGACTTCCTGCCAGCGCCATAGAAGCCCACGGAGGAACTAGAGGTGCCACTCGGGGCTGATAGGTCAGTCCTGGATGAAGCCTCCCAATGAGCAAGGAGTTCCTCCCCTTCGGCGCAGAGAGGCGTTTTCACTGTGAGGAGAAATGTCAGGTTCCCTCTGGGCTGCCTTTAGCCTGGATGCCAGCACTGCCTTCAGTAGCCCGGGGGAAGGGGTGTAAGAGCTGCTCTGAGAGACGCCCTAAGAACATCTCTTTGCCTGAGAACGTAACACAGTGCGATCCTATTCTCAGGTAAAACAGCTCAGATGGCCTCCCTGTTCCCTGTTTTAGAGGCAGACCTCACTCCTAGGGCTTAGAATGAAAAGAACGAGCAAAGGAGCAGTGAGAGAGAGTACAAGGGTAAGCGACCAAGTTGAGGAGAAACAGACACAAGGAGAGAAGGGCAGAGTGGCTGGACGTGAGCTGGAAGTGTGAGGCCACAGCTCGAACCCAGTGCTCTGCCACTGCCGAGCGTCAGGCCAGCAAGAGCCACGTTCTCATGAAGAGTGAGTGCCAGAGCCACCTCAGAAGCTGGGGGGACCACCGTGGAGGTGCACTCCAATTTAAGCCAATCTGAGAAAGCCTACGTTTATAAAAATAATGAATAAATGGCAATTGTTCATTTAAAAAATTTTCCTAATAGGCAGCCTAAAATTCGGTTTGTATACTTCCCCCTCAATATGTAAAAGGAGTCATGGCTCTACAAGTAACAGCAAGGTGGCCCATCTAGATTTACGAGATTCTCAATGGTGAGAGCAGGACGCCATAACCGCTCCCACCCTCTCGGAAACCGAGCCAGAAAGCAGCCCGAGGGCTGTGTTCCTCGGGAAACAGCTGCTTGGTACAGTACCTGAGATCTTCTGCTGTTCCTGAGAAAAGTCAATCCCTTCTCCAATAGAACTCATGATTTTCTCAATCTGAAATGGAAGAAAGGAACAAAGAGGACAGGCAGTCAGGCTTGAGGTAAACATTGCCAGATCGCCATGAGTGCCACTGAGGCTGACCTCCAGGTCTCCTTCAGAAGATTCCCAGGTGTGCACCAACCTGTAGGGTATCAGGATGCCCTGCTGTTCAGATCTAGAAAAACCCTTCTCTGGCCCCAGCCCAGGGAGCTGAAGGAGTGAGATCCGGGAGGGAGATGGTGACAGTCGGGGCTTAGCAGCTAGAAATGCCAAAGAGCCGCTCTTTGAAGCCATTTCTATGTCACTCCCCCAAGATCTGCTTCTCCAAGACCCAGCAGAGAGTGGGGAGAGGGTACAGCAGCAGGCCAGCCTGGCCCATGTCACCGGCCACACCAAAATCTAAATGCCACGAGAACAGAGACTTCTCGCCAGCTTTGTTCCATGCTATGCCCTAAGTGCCTAGAGCAGGACCTGGCAAATCATAGGCACCAACAGACGCCTGATGCTGCATGTGAGGGCAATTTCGAGAGCTGAGACAAGCAGTGCACCTACACACAGGAACCTCTTGGGAGCCAAGGTGATGCAGGCACATGACCCTGAATGAAGACTTTTTGCTCCCTAGAGGCCAGCAGTCCTGGATGGAGCCCTGCAATCAGGGGACAAAAGGGGCAGAGACATTTGCCCTCCCTCTGGCCCACAGCAGAGAGAGCTGGTCTCCAAGCATCCAAATGCCTCCAGCATTTTGCCCCCTGTATGGACCACCTGTCCCAGCCACCTGGCTTTGGTCACTCACTCTGGGCCAAAGCCAAGCCCCCCACTCCAGGAAACCTGGCCAGGGGCAGGCCCAGGCAGTGAGGAGGGGCCGCCTTCTCTCCCTCCCCGCCTCCTCCTTTTTGGGTTGCAGCGATAATGAGCTCATTCACTGCTTTTTTTCCAAAGAAATGAAAAGAGGACCTTTTGTACCAGGGCTTGGATGCTGTTTCCTCTAAGTGCAAGTAAGGAGCCGAGGTTTGACAATCAGAAAAACAATTCTCCAGCCAGCCTTCAGCTGGCAAAGCTGCACATCTGACACCCAGCAAAGAGCACAGAGCAAGCACCGCCTCTCCCCTCTGCAGCCGGCAGCTAAGGGAAGTATCTTCCTCTAGCCACAGAAATGACTGCTGCCTCAGGCTGGCATCTGACTGCCTGCTATGTCCCAGAGAAACACAACTCTGACTGTGGGGCAAACTGTGGGTGGGTCTCTACTCAGTGGCCCTGGCAGCCCAGGGACAGGCATCGGAAGCAGGGGGTGGGCAGCACCAGAGCAGGGTCGCACTGCCCCTCCCCTCCCTCCATGCATCCACCCTGTTCAACTGCTGCCTCCTTCAGCAAACAGCATGGTACAAGAGGGATTGGCCCACACAGACAGGCGAGTACCCTCGCCCTCACAAAGCCTCCGTTTCAAATGCACAAAAATAGGGATGGATACACTGCCTCTCATATAGGGTAGTGTGGATTAAAGACAGCACGTATATAAAGCATCTAGCCGAAGGCCTAGCTCATGGCAGATGCTCAATAAAAGGTTAGTTTGCTTTCCGCTTCTCTGCTGTCCTCTGAATGCTCCAGCCTAGTAAGATCTATTTTTAAAGTTTTAAAAATATTTTTATTTACATTTATTTTTTGACAAGTAATACATCTACATGATTCAAAATTCAAAAGATACAAAAGGTTATTCAGAGAAAAGTCTCTCTTACTCTTCTCCCAGTTGCCTAGTTCTTTTCTCTGGAGGAAACCAGTGTAACCAGTTTCTCACGCATTCTTCTAGATCTATTCTATCCACATGTAGTGGGAGAATCACCCCCACAAGCATGATTTACCACCATTCCACTTTCTGGACATGGCTCATGGTAAACAGGCGACTTAATGAATGAATGAATGAAAGTGTAGTGTCTACTTATTTAGGGCCGGCAATGAAAAAGCTGTTCTCCAAGGCCATGCAGAGTGCCAAAGTGGAAAGGGCTGACATGGAGGAGAGACTCTAAGGTATCCTTTGAAATAAAGTCAAGTCATCTGCATTATATATCTCGTTATCATCATAATCACCTGACACCCATTCCCCAGCTGGATGGTCCAATCAACATCCCCTGGCTGTGCAATTTGTGAAATTTTGCCAAAGGGCCTTTTGAAATCAGAGTGAGCAGGGCAACACCGCTGCTGCCTCTCTGCTCCACTCCTTCCTGCTTGTCTGCCCCGGGAGTCACCCTCCTGTTGGTCAGCAGAAGCCCAGGTTTCCGCAGTGGGCAGGTATGGGAACAGCTGGGAAATGCTAATGGACGTGCTCAGAACAACCGCACCCCAACCAGGAAGTGTGTTTTACTGCTCTGTGAACTGCCATAGTTAAACCGGGTTGAGACGTTCTAGCCCACAGTGAGCTCAGGGTAATCGGCAGTTTGTTGACAGCTTGTAAGCCAGAACCCCTTCCTTAGCAATTGGAACCTGCCTTGCTGGAAGGTCAGGAACAGGAGAAAAGTGGCAGTGAAGAGGTCCTATTTGGGCACTGACTGGCAGGTCCCACCCCAGCACCCAGGTAGAGCTGCCTGGGGCTGTGGAGATGGGAGGAGCTAGAGCTCTTCCCGCCAGGCCTCACCCTCCTGGCCCAGGACCAGCAGGGAGGAAATCTGATCATTTCAGTCTAGACAAAGAAGAGCGGTCAGACACAGCAGGTATCATTCTGATCTACACACTTGGTACAGTTTAACCGTTTAGGCTTGAGTTAAAAAACAATCTGACTAGGCTGCTTTCCCAGAAACATTCTGCATTTCAGGGGAAGACAGAGGCAGGTGGAGTGTAACAGAAGGGCATAGTTTAGTGTTCTCTGACGCTTTTAGAGAGAAATGGAAAATGGTCATGCTTTAATAGTACACTTTTTATGAACTGACAGAGAATCTGAGGTCAGGACTTGAAAGTTATCACCATAATGGATTCCTATATTCAAAAAAGGCTTGGAAATGTTCCATTTTCACAAAGTATTCAGGATGTGTCTCTTTGGATTCCCCTACCCCAGGCTGTATAAAACACATTCCCCATATGGCTGAAAACAAAAACAAAAACAGACTCTAGAGATACTTCTGCTCGGGCCATTTGACATCTGCTTTTTAGACCACAGGACCCTGACTGCCCATGGGCTGGCAAAGGAGGTAGGGTTCTGCATATGGAGAGGCCTCCCTGCTCTATGGCCAGGCTGCTGAGCCACGCAGACGACACCAGTCTTCTCAATGAAGACGAGGAGTCGAGAGAGGAGGAAGAAGTCCTGCTCCAAGTGTTGATGGGTTTTCTGTGTGCCAGAAAGCGTGCTAGGCATAGGCAGTCTGCAGAGGGACCACTAGTTTCTGTGCAACTTGGCTCCAAGGCCCGTGGGAAACTTCCCTTCCAGGAGGTGGTACAGATTAGAAGCAAAGGTTGTGTTTAGGGCTCTCATTTGGTGTCCCATGTGGAAGAGGATGGGAAAGGAATCACCTTCTTCCTACTTTCCTTTGGTGTGAATGGGACCACGAGAGGCGCTGCTTCTGCAATCCTCCAACAACTGAGTTGGCCCCTGACAATGAACATTCCTGAGGCGGGAGGATCACTTGAGCTCAGGAGTTTGAGACCAGCCTGAGCAAGAGCGAGACCCTGTCTCTATAAAAACAGAAAAATTAGCCGGGCGTCGCGGTGCACACCTGTGATCCCAGCTACTCAGGAGGCCTCTATCCCCTTTCTGCTGCCTGGGGAGCTGTCTGTGCCCTAGGATTTCCACATCAGTTGGAAAACAGACAGCAGTCTCCTTGGGCCTGTCCCACAGGAGACACCATCTACCTCTCCTCCTTCACTCCCGATACTTATTACCTTAGTGGTCCAGAAACACACTGTGCTTGGCACTGTTACTTCCCTGATTAACTGTTTTATCGTGTGTCCCAGAGACACTATAGAACCATTACAGGTAAGGACCCTGTTTCACATTGTCTTTCTTTTAGATCCCAGCCAGTGCTTTGTACAGAGCTGGCACACTGGAGGGATTTGGGTGACAAACAGTAACAGCTACCATCTATTAAATGCCTATGCTGGGCCAGTCATGAATACACTAGTCACTCTCACACTAACAGAGGGAAAGGGAAGGACAGCCAATGCTTTCACTACTTCTGCACCAGTGTGGATTCTCTAGGTCTCCTTCCCTCCTCATTTTCATCCTTCTCCAACCTCCGTGGGCTGTTGGCACAGAGCTGTTGCTCCCTCAAAGCACTTCACACTTCTCAACGGACAAGAACCCGAACTCCAAAATAATGTAAAGAGGTTTATTCTGAGCCAAATATGTGTGACCATGGGCCATAGAGCCATGCCCAAGAAGCCTTGAGCAAGTGGTCTTGCAGTAGTTGGGTTATAGTTTGGTTTATACATTTTGGGGAGACAGGAATTCCATGTAAAGTCATAAATCAATACATGGAAGGTGTACATTGGTTTAGTCCAAAAAGGCGGGATATCTCAAAGCAAGGGATTACAGGTTATGGTGGGTTTAAAGATTCTTTGATTTGTGAGTGGTTAAAGAAATGAAGCTTTGTCTAAAGGCTTGGAATGTTTTAAATTAAGATAAAGAAATCTGTTAATCAGAGACAAGCTGCCTGACATATACCCAGACTGAAGTGATCTGTTCAGTAAACTGACGACCTGCAGGTATGGTTTAAGCTTTGTCTTGTAACAGCCTTAGGTCTGCTAATGAGTTACACAGGGTATCTCCAAGAAGGCATGGGGGCATGACAAGACATGTCTGATTTCTCTTCTCACGGCCAGCAACTCAGCTTTAGGGTATTTCTGGGGTCCCCTTGGCCAAGAGGAGGTCCATTCAGTTAGCTGGGGGGGCCTAAGACTTTACTTAAGTCGACACATTCAACAACTACCAGCTGGCCCCTTCTCTAAGCAACCCTGCAGAGGCTCAGCTGATTGCCAAACATGTTACCCTGTTTTTCAGTGGGGAAACTGAAGCTCTATCCCATGGGCACTGC